CAAGTGCGTCAGTGCTCGGGCCGGGACTACAACTCCCAGACACCCCCGCGGGGCGCCGCGCCCGGCCGCTCCCAGGCGGCGGCCATCTTGTCTGGGCAACTCGGGGCGGCCGACGAAGCCAAGGCGGCCAGGAAGAGGGCTTTCACCCGTGTCACCCCGGCGGTCCCGCCGAGCAAGGGACAACTGCGGGGGAGGGGGAAGGTGCACGCCAGGCCGAAAAGTCCCAACCACCCCTGCGTGGGCGGCGACGCAGGCCGGGAGACAAGTGATGCCCGCCCAGGGGGGCGCCCACGCGTGGGGTGAACCGGAAGTTGGAGCAAGAAGGAACAGGGAGAAGACTGTGCCGGAAGTGCTGTCTGGGTTAGAACTAGTTGGTAGGAGACGAGACTGGTTATTATGTCCTTTGGGGAGAAAGCAGGGCGCTTAGGGTCGGAAGTGATGGAGCCGTGGCTAATTCTCGATGTGGAGGAGGGCGGGGCGGGGCAGGGACAGGAAGGGCAGCCTGTAGGGGGCGGGGCTAATGTCCACCAAGTTCCTAGGATTGGAGAAGGGGCGGGCCGGAAGCTTGGGGCGGGGCTAACGTCCTCTGGTTGAGGGAGCGACAGTACTGAGGTACGTACGCGGGGGCGGGGCTAAATGCGTCCTCGGCAAGACGGAAGGGGCGGGGCTTGCAGTGCTGGGGGCGTGACTAAAACCAGCCCTAGGTCTCCTGGGGACTTTCCCCGGAAGCCCAGCGAGGGGCGGTGAGAAGGTTTGGGTTAAAAGTGCCCCAGACACCATGGTTCAGCGGTTCTCAACCTGTGGGTCGCGACCCCTTTGGGGGTCGAACGACCCTTTCACAGGGGTCGCCTAAGACCATTCTGCATATCAGATATTTACATGACGATTCATAACAGTAGCAACGTGACAGTTATGAAGTAGCAACAAAAATAATTTTATGGTTGGGTCACAACATGAGGAACTGTATTTAAAGGGCCAGAAGGTTGAGAACCACTGCAGGTGGGTCTTGTCAAAGCTAAACCAGAGCTGGGTAGAAGTTAAAGCGGTGAAAATAGTTTTTTAAAATATATATTTTTTTGCCCTAACTAGTTTGGCCCAATGGATAGAGCCTCTGCCTGTGGACTGAAGGGTCCCAGGTTCGATTCTGGTCAAGGGCATCCCCAGTAGGGGGCGTGCAGGAGGCAGCTGATCGATGTTTCTCATCGATGTTTCTAACTCTCCCTCCCTCTCTGTAAAAAAATAGTATTTTTAAAAACATTCAAATAATTAAATTATTTTAAAAGTATATATATTGATTTCAGAGAGGGAGGGAGAGGGAGAGAGAGATAAACATCAATGATGAGAGAGAATCACTGATGGGCTGCCTCCTTCACACCCTCTACTGGGGCTGGAGCCCGCAACCCGGGTTTGCTGCATCCTGACCTCCTGGTTCACAGGTCGACACTCAACCACTGAGCCACACTGGCTGGGCTGAAAATAGATTATATTCCATAAAAAAATTATAACAAGGGAAGAGAGACTGCATTATTGAACCTGGCTTAATTCCGAATACAACCAGAACAAGTGGGGGGTTTATTGACAAGGCAAGGTTAGGGAATTTTTTTTTTTTAATATATTTGATTGATTTTAGAGAGTAAGGGAGAGAGAGAGAGAGAGATAGAAACATCAATGATGAGAGAGAATCATTGATTGGCTGCCTCCTGCATGCCCCCAGGGAAGAGCCTGCAACCCAGGCATGTGCCCTTGGCCGGAATTGAACCCGGGACCCTTCAGTCCGCGGGCTGACGCTCTATCCATTGAGCCAAACCAGCGAGGGCAAGGTTAGGGAATTCTTGACAAACTGGATTACCATGATTCTTGCTAAGATGAGTCCAGAGATGAGCCTTGGTGGAGAAAGGGTGCAGAGGGACCTGCCTACAGTTTGCTTAAGCAAAGAATCCTTGTCCGAGGAGCCAAGGTGCCCATGTCTAGGAAATGGAGCAAGTCTGTCACTGCCAGGACATGATGTATGTTCTTCCTTGAGAGCCCGGAAAAAGTATTCTCTTGCTTTCCTCAGACTCCAGCGTCTGGTGTTCCCTCATCTTCCTCAGTTCCCAGGACCCAGGCTCTGATGTTCTCTCTCTCGGTGCTTTGGACTCTCCATGCTCCTCAGGCCCAGGACCTGGTCTCCTTGCAGATCTCAGCAGCCCTGTGCCTCCCTTGGGTCCTCTTGTTTACTGCCTGCTGGAATGTGTTTCAGAATTTATTAAGTTTTATAGCTGCCGTGGAGAGCACCCACTTGCAGGCTGTTCATTGTTCGTGGTATTGCAGTTACCCAGTAAGTCTGTCGACTTTTGCAGGTAAATATTTACTCGGAGACCATCCAGATGTCTTTGATCCTAACAGCATTTCTTTGGATTCTTTTGGCCATTATAGATAAAACACCATCCCCATTCCATGATAACGTAGTTTCTTCAGTTTCCATAGTTGGACTTAAAATGGTTGATGTTACATTGCCCTAGGTCGCGTGACAGAGCCATGTTAATTAGTCATGTTGTTTTCTTGTTTTGTTTTGGATGTGTCTGGGGATGCTGCCAGTGGTTCACTGTCAAATTTGATGGAAGCTTTTAATATCTTAAGGAAGCAAACCCACTTGGAAGTTCTTTTACTTACTTCTTTCTTTTTATATGATATAGAATAAAAGCATGATTTTAGATTAAAAGGTGATGACAAATTAATATATTATTGAAGGTTGATTTATGAAAGCTACTTTAATACAACTTTTAGTGATTAATTTTGTTCTTTTTTCCTGTTTAGCGAATTAAGCATGCTATTTAATTTACCATAATTTAATTATGTAAAAAAAAGAGCATTTCTGAACAAATATTAACTATTATGCATGTAAGATGTCAAAAATGTTTTGCATACAGGGACCCAATCCCTTGTTGAAAACGTTAAGGGCCAGTAGTATTTTGGAATTCACAAGTGTTTGGAGTTCAGCAGGATAGTAAGGTACATACATTACTCAATATGTACATACCAATAGGTCTGGGCCACCTCTGGCCATTAAACACTTGAATATGTGAAGAGTCCCACTAGGATAGAGAAAGACAAAGTTAGTTTGTTAGTTCAGGTAAATTTTGCTGATACATAATATAAGAAGAAACTTTTCATTAGAAATGTATTTGGAATTTAGAATTGCAGCAAGGCATTGTGGATCACATCTGAAAATGGATGGGTTACCAATAATAGTTGTTTCATTCAATTGCAAAGTTTAAGTTGTGCTTTTTTCTTTTTTAATATGCTCCATGTAGTCAGACTCACATGTTTATTAAGATACTGAATTGTCAAAATATATTAACATTCTTCTTATGCTTTCTTTAACCAATAGTCCACTGTCTGTTCAATTTAAATAACTTATGACTAAGAATAACAGATACAAAACTATATACTGTCCAAATCACTACGGTAGTGGGTGGCATTCAGTTGAGTCATAAGCCAGTCATGTGACTGGATCATGAACTTGATATTTGATCACCATTGTCTCCTGTTTCATGGCACAGAGCATCTCAAATGTTTTCACATGCAGAGGAATACATGTTAAATTCATTTAAAAGAAGAAGAAAGATACACCTTTCTGTTTTTAAAACATGAACCTCTAGGGCCCTTCTTGGAACTCCTTAGAGCTTGAGAACTTCAGGTTGAAGAAGCAGGAATTAATTATTTGGCATTTTACCTGTACCATAACTATTTCCCAGAAAATACGCTCTGGAGTCTATTTATTACGGCTGCACATTTCCTCTTCACCTGCTCTCCACACCATCAAAGATAAGATCAACTTTAAGGTCATCCAGATCTGACATAGCACCTGGGGGAAGGGGAAGAGTCTGAGCTCAGAGCAGAGGCAGACCACACAGGGCTTCCAGAAATGGCACGTCTCCAAGAGGAATGTGGGACGTCCGCAGAACGCCGGACAAACCAGTCAGCCCGGTTTGGATAAGCCAGTGCTTGCCTTTGTATCCTGTGTCCCACAGTGTGTGTGTGTGGTTGTAAATAACTGAAAATCCAACTAATCTAAAGAACAGACAGTGTTCCCGCAGCAGAACGGAAAGTCTTTAAGTAGGGGGCTCCTGGTACTGGCTAAGCTGCCACCATCGTCACCCAGGACCAGACTCCTCCTTCCCCTCTTGTGATCCTCAGTGTGGGAGTGTTTCATACTTCAGCCACTACGGTGTAGACAGAGGACAAGCCAGCCACATGCTCACTGCTGGTCCTGGATTCGAGCCATTTCAACATTTCTCTCAGCCTTAGGGAGTCAACCGTTTCCTCTCTGATGAAACTCTACTCCCATCTTTCTTCTTTTTTAAAAAAAAATGTTATTGATTTTTTACAGTGAGGAAGGGAGAGGGATACAGAGTTAGAA